TAGTGTGAATGGGGCTAATGTTGGGTATGTTAGAGCCGGTAGAGGGTTGAGACAATGGGACCCTTTGTCCCCTTACCTTTTCATCATTGTGTTAGAAGCTTTCTCTAATTTGATTTGTCAAGCTAGAATTAATAGGTTGTTTCAGGGGATTGGATTGGGTAAGGATGCTCCTGTAATTTCTCATATGTTCTTTGCAGATGACCCCTTGTTACTTCGAAAGCTGATTTTAATCATGCCCACCATAATATTAACATCCTTAATGAATATTGGTCAGCTTCAGGTCAATGTGTGGACTTAGAGTAAATCCTCTATCTTCTTCTCTAAAAACTCAGATAATTCCACTATATTTGAGGTTTGTAGTATTCTGCAGGGGGTCTCCAAGTACCTAGGTCTCCCTTTGGGAATTGGCCGGTCTAAGAGAGAAACTTTCTAATTTGTGAGTGAAGCAGTCAAAAATAGAATTTCAAATTGGAAAAATGTTTATTTATGTGGGGCATGGAGAGAGGTTCTGTTAAAATATGTGATTGGGGCAATTCCCACATACATTATGCTCCCACTGACTATGTGCGATGATATTTGCAAAGTAGCAATCTTCTGGTGGGGAAAAATAATGAGTTGGGAAACAAATGGCATTGAGCTAGATGGGATAGATTAGCTCAACCTAGGGAGGGTTAGGATTTAAGGACTTAAGAGCATTTAATGAGGCTTTTCTACAAACAATTGTGGAGGATGATTACCATGCCAAATTTGCTGATGAGTAGGGTTATTAAGGGTAGGTATTTTCCAATCTAAGATGTGGGATGTTAAAGCTAGAGGGGGGATTCTTGGCTTTGGAAATGTTGGTTGGGAGATCGAAAATCTTTGCAGTTGGGAACTAGATATAGAATTGGGGATGGTAGGACTGTTGATATTTGGGAATCTCCCTGGCTTCCTGAAATTCAAGGATTTATTCTTTCTTCCAGGTTTTCAGAGAATATGACTAGATTGTTTAAGGTTAGGGATCTCATAAAAGAGGGAGGGAACTATTGGGATAGAGATTTGATTCGTCATACCTTTGAGCCTGGTACTGCCAGAGCTATCTTAAACATTGTATGAAAGATATACTGGTATGGCATGGGCTTATGACTGGGATGTTTTTAGTCCAAAATGCTTATGAGTTGATTATGCAGCAGGGCAAGCAGACTTCTAGAGATAAGGGGTCTTGTAGTACCAGAACCAAATTGAAAAAATGTGGAAAGTTACTTAGAGTATTCCTATTCAGAACAAGATCAAGAATTTTTTGTGGAGGTGTTGGAATGGTTTTGTTAGTTCTAGGATACAATTGAATAAGAGAGGCATGAAAGGTGAGATGAGCTGTGAAGTATTGGGGAGGGAGTTGAGGACTTGAATCATATATGTTCAACTGTCAGAGAGCTAAAGTGTGTTGGAAGTTACTAGGGATTAGCTGGGATATGGTTGAAGAATTTGGGACAGACTTTGGGGTGTGGTGGACAGATATGTAATGCTCCAAAAGCCAACAATATAATTGACAGAATTAGTCTTTCTACTTTTTGTTGTGGTGGCGTTGGAAAACTAGAAATAGTTGGGTGTTTGAAAAGAAATGACTAGGGATATGATAGTGCAATGGACTCTTAATGACTGACAATTGTTTAATGTATGCGAGGAGATTGTGAGCTTAGCTGATGTGGAGAGACAATCAGATGAGAATGATAAGGGGAGGAAGCTGGGTAGATCAGAGGGAACTAGTTCAAGCAGAGGGATTGGGGGAGAGACAGAGGAGAGGGTTAGTGTAGCTGTTAGCTGCTGGGTTCAGAATGGGAGATTGAGGTTAGGTGGGAAAGCTTTCAAAGCAGATAGTGAACTGCAATGGGATACATCTAGGGACTTCAGAGGAAGTTCAGTGGAGTCCTACATTGCGGGAATCAGCTGGGTGATGAAATGTGTCGAAAAAGAAAGAGTATAAGAGCATTGTCGGTTGTGTTGATTGCAAGGAAGTAGTGGAGTGGATTCAAGGACTATCTGAAGATCTGGTGCATCTGGGCAATGAGCAAGGGCATTCAAGCATTTATGTTCTTTTTTAGTCATTGTGATTTTATTTTAGCCAAAATGTCTATTCAAGGTGATTTGTAAACATCATTTTGGTGTTGCTCGAATATGCGTGTGAGCGTGTTAGGACAACTTTAGTGTCTATTTAGGCCTCGAGTATGCATGTGAGCATGTTAGGGCAACTTTAGTTTCTATTTAGGCCTCGCATTGTAAGACGATATCTTGAGTAATTTTATTTTGTTTGTCGTTTGGGAAAAAAAAAAAAAAAAAAATCTAGATAAAAATAAATAAAAATTGAATAAGCATTTGACAATAAGTTCCAAGTTTCCAACTAATAATAATAATAATAATAATAATAACAATAATAATAATAATAATAATAATAATAATAATAATTGTGTGAATATAAATCTTTGTAAATAAATTATATAACTCCTGGTGCATCACATATTTCATCTACTAATACAGGAATAGGTGAATTCAATACTGATGATTCTCTATTTTTTATTTGTTGCCATGCCCACCATTGAATTCTCACAGAAAGTGATTAAACAATGGACCCTGAAATTTACAGATATAACAAGAACAAATAATTAATATATATCATAAATTCAGACTTCTTTTTTTACTATAAGAACAGCAAAATTTGAAAACCTTGAAATTTACAGATATAACAAGAACAAAATGAATATATATCAAAATCATAAATTCAAACTTCTTTTTTACTATAAAAACAATAAAATTAGTAAAATTTAACCCCCTCCCCCAAAAAAAAAAAAAAAAAAAA